AACATATAAATTATTTGAAAACAATTTACCTTTTCTCGTATATGGAGTGTGTCAAACCTATGAGGCAAAAATATGAATACAATTTAAATAGACACAGTAAGGTAAGCATATTCAAGGGAATATTTGTTAAAACTCTAGACTCCGTGTTTATATTTGCCACCCAACGATGAGATGGAACCAGGTGCCACAAAGAGAGGTTCTAGCTTGGAATATCTGACAATGAGACTGTATCAAATGTTTATTTTTATAAGAGACTGGTTTGGCTGCTAATATAGTTTACAAGCATGTTTTTTATATATCTTCACAACACCTCTGTGGGCACGAATAAATAGTTTGTTTCGTTTTAGGGGACTTTGTAATATTTCCGATACTTACTTTTTACAACCATGAGCTTATAAGTTCAGCAAAGACTATGTGTAGTTACAAAATTTGTATGTTTAAAAAAGAAACTAACTGAAAGAAAGAAAGTTGCTTCAGATCATTATACTTAGCATAGGCATTGAAATTATTAATCCCTAAGGCAGGTATAAGTAAAATGTGAATGTATTTAAAACGTGAAACCGTAAGGCTCTCTTCTGATCTAAAATAACTGTAATTGATGTACTTTTATATTTTGTAGTAATGTCTTTTTTCCGTGTTAATAGTCTTTTGTAGTTTTACTTTAAGGCTTTGCAATATACACAACATGGTTTATATTGCCATAGCCAACTAGTATGGAAGAACATTCATGCTAAGTAACATTTTATGAAAAATTTTTGTCAATCAAATCTGGGAGAAACACATGACAATTGCACAAAAAATTTCATTCTTTTTTTGTAAAAAATGAAAAGAATTAACGTTTAAAGGGTAAAAGGGTGTCACTAGTATGAATGAAAATATTCTCAGTTTTATTATTCTAAATCTATTCAGACTTAAGTATAAGTATTTTTTATACTTAAAATGGCATCAGGTATAAAGGGCAACAAGTATTGTGTTTAACTCAAACAACTGAACATGGATTGTGTCATGTTCTGACATTTAACTAACTCGCTCTACGTATAATTTCAATTTTTATTTCATTGTGAAACATTTACCTTACGTGTTTAATTTATTCTTCTCTAACGATAAAAACGTTTACTAAATAATATCGATAGTAATAATAACGATAATATCTGTAAATTTTACATGAAAATTCTATAGTGTAGTTGGTTAATTGAGGTTATAAGTAAATCGAATGCATCTGAATATACAACATTTTAAAAACTTTTTATGCAAACCGATATAAAAATACCTACGGTTAATACATCGTATTTTTCATGACAACCTTCGTACATTTTACTTGAAATATATGTAGAGTGCTGTATATTGAATGATGAAAGTATTTAGTCAGTCTGATTTATGTATATATGACAATAAGATGCTACTTGTATACAGTCGTTGTAATTTATAGTGGTAGAATCTTTGAACTACAAAAAACTGCCCTCCTGGTAATAAGGAAATTTTACTATAATTACAATAACCTTAAAACCATTTATCTAGCAATTAATATTTTTGCAGAATCTATTAGAGTTAAAAATAAATAAGTTAGCCTAGAATTTTCATATTTCAAATACTGTGTTATTAGTTATAAAGTCAATATTTTAACTGAACTACTATGCGTTTATGTTAGTAAAAACCCCTTTATATAAACTACGTTGTGTTTTTTAAAATCATTCAGTAGCTCTCGACTAAAGGAGCATGATAAGAAAACTCCAGAGGTTAAATAACAATAGGTATTGAATTGTTGGGGGGACTCTGAGTCGAAGTGTTTCTCTCCCTTTCTTAAGTTTTCTCTGACATTTTAAATAACTTTAACATGTTTTATTATGTAAAACAAGGCTTTACAATGCTCCGCATTTAGACAATTCTAAGTGGTTTTTAATAAAAGTTTTACGTTTTGAGATACCAAATGTGACACAAAGTTTTTTTATCCGTATATTATTTAAGTAATTTGTTCAACATTATTAGTGATTTTGCTAAGGCAGTAATTATAATAGTTGTGAATTGATCAGATTGTTCACAAACATCTTGGATATGGATTTGGGATTGTGTATAACATTTATCTATATATATAAAAGGCAAAGCCCTCACTGACTGACTGACTCACTCACTCATCACTAATTCTCCCACTTCTCATTTACCTAGGAGGCTGAAATTTGGTACACTGATTCTTTAGGCATTAAATAGGAAAACTAAGTTGTTTTTATTCTGATCGGACTCACGGGCTCCGCCCCAGTGGCTCTGGAGTTTCCCATGTTAACCTTATGAGTACTCATATTTAAATGGAATTAATGAATCTTAACAGCTGTTTCAATTAAACAGGTTGGTTCTGTTCTATGATGTGCAATAGCATTAAAGTTACAAGGATTACCAACAGGGTGCAGCACTATTATTATTCTTAAATTTATTACAGCTAATTTGCAGCTAATTTGCAACCAAAAGGTGAGTGAGCGTAGCGAACGAACTTCAACCTGGAGGCGAGTTAGCGTAGCGAACGAGCTCCAACCTAAAAGTGAGTGAGCGTAGCGAACGAACTTCAATCAGGGCGTGATTGAGCCATGCGAAAGAGCTCATCTTGAAAATTAAGAAGTTAAACGGGGCAAAGCCCGCGGGTACAGCTAGTTTAGGTATAATTCCGATAGTATGGACATTATGTTATTAGTATCGAACAACAAAAGAGGAAAAACAGTTTTAAACATAATTTTATTTTTTTAATATAATTAGATTGTTAAAAACTATACACCTTTATCTTTTTTCTTAAATCGCACCGTAATACTTAGTGATAATATGATAAAATATATTATCTTAAATAATTTTTCTCAAAGTTTTATTTAGTAAATTGAAAATTTAATTGGTGTATAATTAAGAATAAATATAAAGAACGCGAGTGTAAATCAAAGGTTGGTCAGGAGGGAGGTTACCACAACGTATCGTTACTCGGGTTCTCTCAAGTCCACTTTAATGAGAACCTTGGGACCTTTTAACTGAAGGTTTTTTGTAGCTATTAAACGCATTCAATGTGAGATTGTTTCATTTATAAAGCTCACTTTGATTCACATAATGTAATAAATGTGTCCTGCCACTGCAAACCTGCATACTAAAAGTTTTAAAGTTTTTCTGATTGGATGTTACTAACATATTTTCATAAAAATTTATACTTATTCACTATTAAATAACATTGGGCTGAACTAGTACTTAGGTTTGCCACTACGGGGATAGGAAAAGGTGTTGTTAAAATGCTAATATTATAGTATGAAATAAGTAAATTTGCAAATAAGTTTTTAGAAATTCTTTCGGTAACCCTTAAGTGTACAACAATTTATTAACATATATTATAGTTTGTTATCTAAGCTCTACACTATGACTGCAATGAAATAGGGGAATCCCCTTGTTATAAGGATAAAAACTTGAAAAAATATTGGAAAAACTTCAAAACCTTGTAAAATTTTGTTCCTTTCACCCAATCCTGCTGGCACGCAAACTCATTCAAGTCTATCCAACTCTACACATGTAAGGTACATTTAATCAAGATCTGACCAAAATTACTGGAACTGTCAAGTTCACGCACATAAAAAAAGGTGTTTTGCTAGTCAAGTGGTTAGCGTTTTGGACCTCGGTGTGGCGAGGGGTGGGTTCAATCCCCGGCAAATATCCCCAAATATTTTGTATGGGTTCGGACCGCTTTCTCAAGCGTTTGAACTAACTTCAACTTCAATTAAAATGCCACAGATGTAGTCACTTAGAAAAGGAAGCACCAGGGAACCAAGATTTGCTAGGGGAAAGTCATTAGTTTACTCTGAAAACAGTCTTAGTATTGCATATACATTAATCCATCCCCAAACTCCATAATGCTCTCCCTTATACTTCCTTCACCACTCCTTGCGCAGTAATACCTTAGTCTAATCGTCATAAACAGTCCCCACACTCCGGACTGCTTGCCTTTACTCGGTGCTGCCTAGCCTACCGTAATAGCAAGTTTATCTTAGAAAAATTCGCTAAAATAAAAAAATACGATAGTATGAAAGACGAAAATGTAACATTTACAATTTTAAAAATGTTTGTTTCTTTTTGTACAATTATTACCACTCTACCAATGCGTAGATATGCAATTGGCAATCGCTATTACGAGTAGTTAGATATTTTCCCTACACGATTTTTTTTATATAAACATAATATTTATGAGTAAATATGGGTATCAGTGTATATTTAGTGGGCGTGGTCACATCATGCAATTCCTTACAGTTGGCCATAAATTCAAGTTTGTTAAAATGAAATTTTAATTAAATTAAATATTAAATTTGCCCTATATTGATCCATTGATCATACGTATACAAACAAAAAACTTTGGTTTATAATTTTTATATCCTCTGTGTCATAGGTTATACTTCCCAATTAGTAAACGAAAATAACAATTCTAGGATGAGCATAGTGAAGTCCTGGTTGTTTATTTAAAATTCATGGGGCATACCCCATGAATGGCATGGGTTGTTTACCCCTTATCTAAGGGCCTAAGGGCCTAAATATGGGCCTAAGTTTACCAATAAGTTCAACAAATTAAAATCTTTCGTGTTATACAATTAAATACCAAAACGTATTTTGTTCATATAGTTACAGCTGATTATTTTCAACCATACATTCATCCAGGGAATTTCGTATCAAAAATCCATTATTTAGGATGGTAAATTTTCCTTTACTAACCGATGAAGAATTTTAGAATGATTTGTGCGAAATAAAAAACTGATTTTGGAATAAATGGCACCAGGAAGATGAATCTGCGCTCACGGGGAGATGACAACGAGTCGTCTGCATCATTGATGACGTCATTGTTGACTTGTTGGCGTCTCTTTCATTATTTGCTGACAGCGTTACCAACCTGATGAACATTATTTTCCCACTTTTTAGAGGAAAATTACTTCTCTAACTAGCCAAAGTTGCATTAAATGAATTTATTCATCTTTATATTACGTTTTTTTGTTGAAAATGCACATTGGTTGCGTTGTTATCTCAATGATACTAAACAAATGATAATGATAATTAAAAACTGTGTTTAATACATTGGTTCATTGATCAATTTGTTTTCCTGGTTTCTTTAAATGAATTTTAAAAATAAAAAGTGATTTGAATACAGTATTAAAAGTATTGATTTGTCTCAAACCTTTAATCGTACCACAATTAGTGTTATTTTTAATACATCGGCAAATTGAATAAAGTTAACTTGTTAAACTGGCTACAATATTAGTTTCTTTTTTGTCTAAGGACGCTAGGCACGAGCCTTGGATTGTTTTTCACATTACTTCAGACTAGGGGTTGTGGCATTATCACTTAGATATATAATCATATTAAATACTGTATGATGCTCCTTTTTAAGACAAATAAAACGAGTAACGTAAGCTTGGGCTGTACTGTGACTATAGTCAAAGCTCGTACTTAAATAAAAAAGACAAAATTTGAATATAGACACAAGAGTGGCCGGATACAACACGTAGTTTATGTAACTTACATCTTAAGTTATCATCCCCAGATAAGGGAGCCCTTAGGTGTGAAAGCAATTGTAGGGGATTGTCTGTAATATTACAAGAAATATGCCTTGTTCTGCAGAGACCCTTGTATGAAAAATATTAGAAACATTGCTCGTCTTTTGAACGAGATCTTTCTATCACTGTAGAGAAAAGAGTGGGTGGAATAATAATTTTATTTCATCTACATAGATTTCCAGATTTTCAAGTTAAGTGATGATTTTAAAATGCCTAATTTAGTTCGTTTGTATCAATTTAAATTTGCATAAGACAAAAGTAATTTTATTTTAATATTATTTTTGCTATGAAGTGATCGCACAGATGATTTTATTGGCTTCTAATCAGGCTTTATTAGAAAATTATTTTATATCTTAAACGCACGTTCGTACTGATAAACCTTTTAGTGCAATCTTAATGGTTTTAATCGCAATTTCATTTCTTTTGTACTGTATTTGTACTAATTTAGGATATACATTACAAATTGTGAATGTTTATGTTAAAGTATTGTTTACATTTATTTTATTATCACGTACCAATAAACAATTAGTTGTTGAGTTTTTGGTTTAAATTTATAGTTTAGATAAAGCAGGGTTTTAACTGGGTTAGAACATAATTTTGAAACTATCCAAATTTGAGCATCTTATCTTACTAATATTATAAATCTGAAAGTTTGTGAGTTTGTGTGTGTGTTGCTCAATCACGCATAAACCACTGGACGGATTGGGCTGAATTTTGGCATAATGATGGCTCACATTCCCGATTAACATTTAGGCAAATTCTTACCTCAAAATCCTTTCGGGCTCCGCCCCAGTGGCTCTGTAGTTCTCCATGTTAACCTTATGTGTATTCATATTTAAAGGGAACTAAAGGATTTAGTCAGCTGTAAAAAAAATACTTCTATGTATGATATGCAAAAACAGTAAAATTTATAAGATTTACCAACATGGTGCAGCACTATAATTCTTTCTGCATTTATGAAAACAGCTAATTTGAGCCATTGACTATTTGTACTAAGCAGCAACAAACTGTGATACGCAACGAGAAACGTCAAAGTTGGACTCATTACAGTTATGTTTATGTTTTTAATTTCATGGATAATTTGTGATATTTTACAAATGTTTAATATTTTTTCCCTCTGTTGTTTAGGTGAAGTGGTAGAACATTATGGCTTTGGTAGGTGTGTAATAATAAAATATATAGTAAATTTAAAGAAGTCAATTTTATAAAAATGTGGGCTCCCCACTGAAAACGCAAAGCTTGAGTATAATTGCAATAAGCATTTTATACTCATATGCCAACCCCGTACGAAGGACGGGTACTCTGCTAGTACTGAATAACTTCAGTCAGAAAACCCTGTTGACAGATAATTAAATGTTTATTTCAAAAATCCAAACTCACAAGGTGGTAATAAATATTTTCTCACTAAATAAGGATAATTTTTAAGATCTAATGAAACATAACTCAAACTTAAACTAATAAACATTGATTAGTTTTATAAACCTTTGTTTGTGTCTATATTTGAAAAAAAAAAAACTAAGTTTCAAACAATCTCAAAGCTGTATCTCAATGAATTTAATACGAAAGTGTGCTATCGAAGGTTGTAAATAATTGTTGCTGACCTCATATCCAGTGACCCCCTAGCCCGGTTTGGTTGAATATATTTTGAAATTGCAATTGAAATATTTTGTATAAACTTTTACAATTAAATACAGAAGTTCCCTTTTAATATTGAGTTTCGCTTTGAGCTAAACATAATGGGTATAAAATGAACTCATATCTACTCAAGTTTTTTTAAATACAACATATCTACATTTATGTTATATTTATTGCTTTTAAGAGATTTGAAAAGAATGCCAAAAACATAGTAGGCAAAACAATTAAACTTAGGAGGAATGTGTACAAAAATACAATCGTTTCAAAGAACACTTAAGTGATGGGAAACTGTCGGATGGGAAGTACAGAAAGGCTTCCCACAATGTATCGTAAAACGGAGCACCAAATCTTTATTCTTACGTCTGAGAGGCCTGAGAAAAGTCTGATTTGAACATTGAATTCCTAACAAAATATCAAATATATAAATAAAACAACAGTAATACAATGTACAATGTAAAATGTGACTTTAAAATGAACATATGTGAACTAATATATAATTACGGTTATTCCATCTTAATTATAATTATACAGGGTGAATTTTAAATGAGTTCCCCCCCCCTACTTTTTCCTACATTTCTTAAGATATCAACTTCGGACCACGTCAGATCATTGTATTGTAGTAATTACTTCATTTTGATAGGGTAAACATTTTTGGCCGCCATCTTGGATCCGCCATATTGGATACAAATTTTTTTTTCAAATGTAAAGGTAGGGTGTGACCTATTGTTTCAAACTAAAATTTTACGCTGATTACAATGCCGCAATTAGTTTTTAAAAATCTTGATCCGTTCTAAAGTTATGAGGACGTTTTATATATTTATTTTTAGCCCATTTTAACATTGTGCATTTACAAACTAAGACCATAATCTCAAAATAGTGCTAGATAAAGATAAGTATACACCACCATTCATTGTCGACCTATTATCACTTGCTTATGACGGATGTATTTTTGTTGGCCGCCATCTTGGATCTGCCATTTGAAATGTGATAAATTAATTTAAATATGAAGGTGGTGTTGTGACCCATCATTTTGAACTACTTTTTTTATGCTGAACTCAATGCCGCAATCCGTTTTTGTCTCTCAGGCTTTCTTGATGAAATATTAAAATTATCTTACTTAAATTTCCAATATTTCTAAACACAAATATGAAAATGCAAAACAGATTGCGGCATTGAATTCAGTATAAAAAAGTAGTCTAAAATGATGGGTCACAACACCACCTTCATATTTAAATTAATTTGTCACATTTCAAAATGGCAGATCCAAGATGGCGGCCGAAAAAAATACATCCATCATAATCAAGTGATAATAGGTCGACAATGAATGGTGGTGTATACTTATCTTTATCCAGCACTATTTTGAGATTATGGTCTTAGTTTGTAAATGCACAATGTTAAAATGGGCTAAAAATAAATATATAAAACGTCCTCATAACTTTAGAACGGATCAAGATTTTTAAAAACTAATTGCGGCATTGTAAACAATAGGTCACAACCCTACCTTTACATTTGAAAAAAAATGTGTATCCAATATGGCGGATCCAATATGGCGGATCCAAGATGGCGGCCAAAAATGTTTACCCTATCAAAATGAAGTAATTACTACACTACAATGATCTGACGTGGTCCGAAGTTGATATCTTAAGAAATGTAGAAAAAAGTAGGGGGGGAACTCATTTAAAATTCACCCTGTATATTAACGACAAACGATTATTGACGTTGATTGAATCTTTGGTTATCATTAGCCCATTTGAAACACGGTGGTTTACTTAGAGAAATACGTTTTTAACTACATATAAAACAAACCACACTTTTGAAATATGAATATGAATAATTTAACATATTTCTTTTCCTACGCAGTCACCTGACAAAGTGGGATTTCTTGCACTGATTATAGTACAGAAAGTTGCTAATTACTGCATTTACTTACTTTTGCCGCACTCTTTTTACTTTTTCCGCACTCCAGTAAACAAACAACACAAACTTGCTTTTATTAGGCAAGTAATCCATGAACTATTGAAAATAAGTTAGCAACACTTAGATACTACGACTACGATCAGTTGGTGCAGCGTTTCCCATTTCGTTCAACGCTTGGATTTAAACTATCCTAAAAACTTGTTTATAATGTTTGAAAGACTATTTATCAATATGCTTTATTGTAACTGTAGGAAAAATATAATGTTTAACGTGAATGCAAAGTGCCACTTCGCACACTAGTTGCAAAAATAACTTTTTTCACAATATTACAAATGAATTATTCAAGTTTTTCTTTCTTACTAATAGGTGGATGTATACAGTTTTTTACGGATAATTTAATAATTTACATAATTTTCTCTACGTTGATAAGTATGGATAAGGCATCAAATATTTTTAATAATGCGTTTTACGCAAATGCAAAACATTTTCTAAAACTTCCAGCTATAAGTAAATACAGGTTCAACAGGAGCTCCATAAAAAAAAACTTGTTTGTACTAATAAATAAATGTTATTGTAACACTAATTATGTCACGAATGACATTTATTCCATAACACTAAGCCTAGTTAGTAAAAGGCTAGAAGTAATGTAATAATTGGAGGGAAAAATTATAAATTAATCTTAAGCAATACCGCATCTGTATGGCCAAAGTTTATAACCTTGAAAATAATGTAAACACA